AGCCGAGAGGAAGACGGTGAGGCGCCGCAGAGCGTTTGCGAGCAGAGGCCTCGTTGCTTCTGAGCGAGGTGGCGAGAGGGACGGGCTGGTGGGACACACTTCCGTGCCCTTCGCGCGAGCGTGAACAGGCGAGGCAGCATCAAGGTCAACGCTGAAGACGGCATGTCCCCCACCCCGCCCCAAGGCACTACTGGCGCCGGTGTGTGTGTGCACAGAGGTCACGCCCCCGTCTGGCTGCCTTTGGACCTGCCGTGCCCCGGAGCTCCCGGCACGGCCACGCATTCTGTTACGTGGCCGTGGCGCGTTTCACAGAAGCGTCGAGGTCACCATCCTGTCTTCTGCACTGGCGGAGGGAGTGCTGCAGAGCGTGGGCAGTGCGTTCGCCCATCCGCACGGCCACAGTGCGCAGCCGCACAGCGGGTCCCAGGGCGAGGTGCCAGGTCAGGCCTGCGCATCTGTGGAGGCGGCTGGGTATCAGTCACCCCCAGCCGATCACCCCAAGTCACAGCCCCGTCCTTCCCCCAGGCCTCACCAGTGGTTTCAAACGTCTTAATGCTTTATATCAGCCATTTTCAAATCTTGATAGCTGACCATTTGTTGAAAAAGCTGTGTTTGAGGTGAGATTTATCCTAAAAACAAATGGTTTTTACTAAATCCATTTCCTATGAGAATTGTCTGACCTTAGATTCCTGCTAAGACGGCAGTTTTCCAGTCACCCGGGTGTTTCCTGGAGCCCGGGTTAGCTCAAGGGGGCCCCCGACTGCAGAGAGACTTGTCGCACCCCGCCACGGAGTCCTGCTGGTCCTAGCGCCCCGTGCGGTGCTGTCCACAGGACCTCGCCGTTCCAGCGGCAGTGGCAGGTGACCTTCCCAGCAGCAGACACTGAATCAGGCTCCTAGAACCCCGTCTCCACGTCAAAAACACGTCGTTATAAATCAGCGGCCATCCGAGCGAGCAGCCTCCTGCCGTACCCCACACACGCAGCGCACAGCACCTTCTCCCAGCGCAGGTCCCAGCATGCAGGCCACACCATCTGCTTGTCCACTTAAGGCAGGTGACACTGTGATGAGTGCAAGGCTGGTCGCCCCTCCAGGGAGGGTGAGGGCCAGCAGTGTCTAGTCTCCTGGCCAGGCAGGGCACGCACAATGGCAGGAAGCATCAGACCGCACGTCCTTTTCCCGCTGCCATGTCAGAAGCTGGGTTTTGCTAGAAGCAAGGTGCCCCCTGTTGTGCTGTCACCCCATCCACCCTTTTAGCCTGAAGCCCCCGTTTTTAAAGGTAGAGACCGCCTTGTTCACTCAGCCGTTTACCGGCGAAGCCTTCTTAGAAGCCGCGTCCCCAGCAGGCACATGGGCTCCGCGCGTAAAGCGGCCCGAGCCCGCGTAGGCCCAGCGAGGCGCGCTCCGCTCCCCAGGCTGCACCGCACGGCCGCCTTTGGGCTGCGGGAGGCGGCCGTCCTCAGCCGAGTGGTCCGTCTCTCCGCAGGTGTACCAGATCTACGCGAAGCGGCCCCCGGAGGAGGTGCACACGCTCCTGCGGGCGCTGGGCGCCGACTACGTCATCCTGGAAGACAGCATCTGCTACGAGCGCCGGCACCCCCGGGGCTGCCGGCTGCGCGACCTGCTGGACGTGGCCAACGGGCACGTAAGCACGCGCCTCCCGGAAGCGCTGGCGCCCCGCACCTGGCGTCTGCAGAGCATGCTGGGAGTCGGGGCGTGGTCACTGCCTTAAGCAGGACTGCCCGCCAGGGGCTGGCGAGGGGCAGGAGAGGGGCCGGCTCAGTCCCCAAGTCACGTCAAACAGCGTCCCTGTCTCAGCAGGGTTCCAGCAGGAGACTCTGCACAAAATTGGTCTTTAAGCTTCTGCTGCTAAAATCAAAAACAAAACCTGAATCCTTTAAAATCTGCTCAACCTGCTCTGTCACTGGGTCCCCTCTTGTCCACTGGCACACTTCCACAAAGGTGGCTTTCTCTGGCCAAGCGTACACTCCAGAACAGAAAACCAAGCAATAAACCTAGCCTAAATCTGAAAAATACTTGACTGTACAAAATTCAAGATTCAGGACACTTAAGATCTAATCTCTTCACAAATTTCAAGTGCACAGGACACTTACTACATTCAGTCACAATGCTTCAGGTACACCCAGAACGCGTGCAACTGAGGTCTGTCCCTCTCGCTAACAGGGATGTGTGAATCAGCCTGAGGGTGGTGATCATTTCGCCACGTATGTGCGTGTCACATCACCGGGCTGTGTACTTTAAGTGTGTACAACTTTATTTGTCAATTATGCCACAGTAAAGCATGGGAAAAAAGAATTGGCGATTCAGATTTCGCCCAAGACAAAGAACTGTCCGTAACTGTCTTGAATTCAGAGAAGGTGCGGACCCAAGGTAGGCGTCTGAGCTTTGCTGTGTGTGTGATCTTTTTAACTAGGCATCTAATGAGCTGGTCGTGGTGACTCTCCTCTGTATTTTGTTTGTGAGAGGGACCATATAGCACATCCTACGAACAGGGAGATCCACTGCCAGCTCCAGGTTCGACACAGTGAGCATGTGTCACTGTAGTCTCCTCCTCGTCCTTGGCTCACACCTCTGATGGGGGCTGGACTAGATGGTGTCCACGTGGCCATCGCTGTTGAAGTCATGTCATTTCAGCTCACTGACACATCACCCTTAAACTCAGGGCCTCGTCCTGCTTCTGCCGTCTCTTATAAATGTGATTCTTTTTACCAGATTTTACTGGGTTTTGTTTTGGCTGCAGGTAATGGACGGCCCAGGAGAGAACGACCCGGATCTGAAGCCCGCAGACCACCCTCGCTTCTGCGAGGAGATACGGAGAGACCTGCCCCCCTACAGGGCGTTCTTCACTAGAGTGTTCCAGAACAAGACGTTCCATGTTTACAGGCTCTCCAGGAACAAGTGAAGCTCCCTGTGCTCCCCTGGTTACATGAAACCCCATCGCGGCAAAACTCAGTAGATAACGTTTCGTGTGTGATTAGGCAGCTCGTACCTTAAAGCTGTGATCTGAGGAAGATCTACAGATGTTTACACAAACGTCTCCATCTTTGAAAGTATCTTTACCGGCTTCAGTCTTTTTCATCGTGTCTCTGTCTTTGCCACTGATGTTCTTTGGCCTGGATGTTCTCCACCTCCTGAGAGCGATCTAGAATTTCTTTATCAGGAGAACAGCAGGTCCCACAGGAGCCTGGCCGGCCACACAGCGTGCTGGGGACCCAGGGCCCGTGCCGGCTTGAAACACTTTTCAGTTGATTTAAGACAGCGATGGTTGAATTGAGCTGAAGGGTTTCATAATCAAATTACTTAATGTTCCACCAGTGAAGACTGATTGGTGGCTTTTTAAAAAACTCCATATTGTCCCGTTTCACCTAAAAATTTTATAATGTTTTCCAATTATGCTTTTAATATTTCAAAAAAAAATCATGTTAGGTCTTGGTATGTAACTAAAACTTCTCATGCTCTGAGATGTAAGGTGTAGCGCTTCGACAGTGTGTGTCATGCGTTAAGTGTGTGTGCGTGCTCACACGTGCATGTGTCTTTCAGTGCTGGACACGGACGTGTCGTGAGTCTAGGGGAGCGGCGTGTGGACGGGGCCCCCGCACCCGGCGCCGTCGCTGTTCACTGTCACTGCTCTAAGACCTGCTGACACTGTCTGACCTATCCTGCAAGAAAGGTGATTTTTCTTTATTTCTTACTCGTTTAAATTTACTAGGTTTGCAGAATTTTGTAAATTTTTTGTTTTTAGCCTTTGTATTTTTTACAGCCTAGAACCTTGCAAGATCTGAATATTTTTTAAATACTGTATCTTAACTACTTCACTAACACAGTATTTTTGGCAGAAAGCGTTTACATGCCACGTTTGACGGTGGTCTCCAATCTCACTGTGAGGGCCCTGGTCGTGTGACCCTTTTCCTTACTGAAGGTGACCAAGTGCCTCTAAGTCCTGCTTACTTGTAAACAACGAAGGGTTACGTGTTCCTGCTCAAAAAGTCTTTGATAATTGCATTTATGATTAATTTCTAATGATGGGGACATGTACAAGTTGCTGATAAAAGCATATCATGCATTTCATTAAATCAAGAAGGCCAACGTTAGTAACTTTCTTCCCTGCTCTGCACAGTTGGAAGAGATCTCAGTGTTTCTCCTTGCCGCTGGGTTGAAGTAAATCACCATAGGTGTCACGTGTTCGAATGACTTTAGATTCAGTTCCTACTTATTAAGCAGCTTTCTAAAAGAAGTTTTACATTCACGTTAAACCCAAGAGCACTCGGCTTTTATCAGACCTTACTTAAATAAAAATTGACAGCAGCTGGGTTTATCAAATTTTGTAACTGAAACTCCTGAATTGTATCTTTCCTGTGTCCCTTCATAAGGTTGGAGGCCGGTGCCGCTGGGGCTGATACAATAATAAGACGTTTTAGTCGGTCCCGAGACCTTCAGGGAGCCGGTAGTGCGCTCCCGCTGTGGCTGGCAGCGTGGACGGCACGGCCTCCGGCGAGTGCCTTACTCCACGGAAACCAAGCACATGTAAGGCACAGCGTGCCAGACCCTGTAGTTTCACCCTGAAAGCCTCTGTCACTCTGATACATTTCAGCTTAGTTTAAATATTCCTTCATGCATTAATCTAAACATTTGGGTCTGTGGAGTCTCATACAAGAGACATGTACTTAAATTTTTATGCTCATCACCATATTGATGGCAGACAGTAATCTTTTTTCGTAGTTTAGGTGCCATTTTTGCCAACATATTCAGGTTTCAGTCTTCAGTGAAAATATAAAGTGCCAAAAAAATCTTGCAAGAAGAGAACCCGTACATACTCTCTTCCAAGACACTGTGACCATGTAGAGTAGACACTAACTCCCGGTGACCAAAGCTCAGCAAGTCCCGTCCAGTCCTTGTAGTGCTCGTCAGCATCTCTTATGACCCCGCGGGGCCCGTGGGAGGAGAGAGGAGAGGGACTGGGTGCCGGCGCTCCAGCGGTGACCCGCGGCCAAGCTGCCTGCCACACGGTCTCGGTGGCCGTTGTTACTTAGTAGTAACCTCCGATCACGGCCGGCTTTGTGGAATACCGCTTGGTGCGGCTTCAGAGTCAGATGGCCTCTGAGCACAGCTGCTGCTCCCACCCGCCGCTCGCACGGCTCACCTGGTCCCTGACAGCCCCCACCCCGGGCGAGCGGACTGTGCCCAGCTCCGTGGGGCTCCTGGGATCCTCACGGCCCCACCGTCCTCCGTAAGTACACGATTCAGCAGACACCTCGGAAATACGGGGTAAAAAGAGGGTTGCTTGTGCAAAAATTAACTTGCCTTCCTTGATAAAATTTGGTAAAGGTTGAATTGCTAATTAAAATTGCTTTTAAGTTAGGTGTGCTTGAGAAAATTATAAACTTTTAGGAAAATATAAAATTCAAGAAAACTCCTGAGCTTAGATTGCTTCACAGGTTCCTTTAAGTGCTTGTTCTGTTTGAAAAACTAGACCAACCAGGAGGTAGGAAAATTACCCAAATCATCTGATCGCTGTGGTTTTCGCAAGAGCAGAACTGTGATCGCAGGGCGTCTGCGGAGAAGGGACCTTGGCTTCCTTCGGGCGGTCTGCGGGTGGGTGTCCGCCACGCGTGTTCACTGCGAGGGCTCCCTGCCTGACCTGCCTAAGTCTGTAGATGACTGACCCCTGACGCTGGTCACAGTGACTGAGAGACTCTGGTCACTTTAATTACGGACTTTTAAAAAATAGGAATGCATCGACATAAAAATATTCTACTTTTTAAACCTTGGAATTAATAGGAAGATATTAAAATGTTCTCAGATCGTGCGTCTCGGTTAATATGCTCACAGATAATTTATACATGACAACCTTTTGGCCTGGAAGAGTGCGCGGCTGTTCACAGAGGAAGCTTCTAGAACGAGAGTGGCTTACTCTCTTGTGGCAATTAATTTCTGTATTCGATGTCATAAGGGTGGCAGCTACAGAGAGCTTTCATAATGTTGTGCTGAGCTGTATGGAGCTTGTATCCTAAATAAAGCTCTTTCAGATGACACGAGGTGTGACTTTGATTCCTTTGAGGCCGAAAGCCGTGGAGCCGGCCAGGGGAGCGCGTTGGACGTGTGCTTCTGGGGCGCGGTCGCTGGCAGCGGGTGCCCTCTGCCTGCCATTGTCGAGGGAGCTTGCATGGCATTTGCTCTGACAGCTGCCTGTCTGTCCCACCGGAAGCCCAGGTCCCCCGGGTCAGGTCCCTGAGGAGCTGCGTCGCAGAGGTGAGTGCTGCCACGTGGACCCTCGAACTCATCTCCACTTCTGGTGACGTTCTCAGCCCTCAGAGCTTCGGGAAGGTGAGTAGCAGCCATGTTTTCGGTAAGAGTGTTTAGGTAACGGATGTCGCCTGGAGTCGCACACAAAAGTGCTCAGATGCTGACATCCTTCCAAAGGACAGAAGCTGGCAGCGGCGTTTCTGGCGTTCTGCGGGCTGCACAGTTACATGTGTTTCACTCCGGCTATTAAGTACACTCTGCTAGAAGGTCCGTAGCAAGGAAGCGTCACAAGTAACATACATGAGGGTCAGACGGGATGCGGTACCCGTGCATGCGATGGCTTCACATGTGACGTCAGCAGGTAGCTGAGGAAATGCCGTCTGTCAGCCGCCACTTTCCGGAGAGCTGTCTAAACACCACATACACCTGAGCAGTTAATTTATTTTTCTATCTTTATTTTTATTTTTTTCAGGTGAGGCAACCCTTGGTTGACCTCACAGATTGCAAGGACCTTGTCAGCGTACATTGCCTTATTTTTTATTTTTTACGCCCACAGCACCTGGTCTTCCTAGGTGGTCTCCCATCCAAGTACTAACCACGCCCAACCTTGCTTGGCTTCCGAGATCAGATGGGATCGGGCATGTTCGGGGTGGCATGGCCACAGACCAGTTAGTTTAATGCATAGAAGTTTACTTTATAGCACGGTTTTTTCCAGAACACAAGGGTAGAAGTGTAGCATGTTGTGGAATCAGTTTAGTGGGTTGCAACCAACATCACAAGACAGACCAAGACGAGGGAGAAGGGACGTGTCGACATGAGAACGTGCAAACCTGTATGGAATTTTTGAGTCTGTGGGACCCAAACTGACATGCGGAGAAGCAAGACCTCAAGTTGCAGCTGTGGAATAGGGAGGGGCCTGAGGAAGGTGGGCGGGGGTGGGGACCCTTGAGGGTGGTTCTGCCTTCAAGGGGTCTGGAGAAGAATCACTGCCACCTCCAAGGCGGGAGACCTAGATGCCATGAACAATGACAGGGCTGGCTTAAGGCCCCAGTCAGCCTCTCACTGAAGACGTCCCAGGCCCGGCGTGACTGCGCACCCCGCCTGCCCAGGGAGGAGTCTAGGATCAGACCCCGCCCCCTCCGTGAAATCGCTTTCCATAGAACCCCCTTTATGTCCACAGTGTCCCCTTTTGGCTGTAGAGCAGTCGGGAGGGCGCACTGACGACAGCCTTTGGTCAGAGCGCGTGGCCCAGCACCGGGAAGGCCCATTCCTAACGGGTCTCGGTGGCAGCGTCTCGCTGAAAGGGGACCTCTGGGGCGGGCAGCTCTGGCAGCTCGGGGTGCAGCTGAGCCAAGGTCTCCCTGAAAGGGCGGGGCGGGGAAGAGGCCGTCGGGTCTCCACGGCCTTGCACGCGTGAGCGAGCGTGCCGCCCTGCGAGCTGTCGTGGCCCAGGTTCCGCCTCGTTTCTCTGTGTGTCGCGTCTAGTGCAGCATTTACATAAGTCATAGGAGGAGTATTGACAGGTCTACGTCGCCAGTAATCGTGAGCAGTTGGACCATGCAGGAAGATCCCAAAGGACAAGTGTAACTGTTATTATTTTGACTAATGTCACTAGCAGACAGGCAAAGACAGTCGCAGTTTAAGAGAGGAGGAGGCATCCGAAAAACACAAAGGAAAGGCCTGCAGAAAGGACCGGCCCCGCCGGTTCAAGGCCTTTCCTGACCGCCCTCCCCGCCCAGGACTCCGCTGCTCACTCACATCTGCCAATTCGCAGCTCGCCGACCAGCTCATGCTCTTTCCTCTGCAGCTGTGCGGGAAGAACGAGCCCGTGTAAAGCTGCCTGTTACGCTACAGCCGGGGCTCAGCCTTTGGAGAGGGACCCGCTAGCCGGTGCCGGCGTCAGTAAGTGCTGCTCCCCGCTTACGGCCTAGGAGTCCCGTCTCTCCGTTCGAGAATCCTGTAACAGTGTTGATAACGCCAAGGTCACGGGTTCTACAAGGCAAGACGACCTGTAAATAGATAAGACCCTGGTCCGGAAATTCCTCCTCCCTCGCAGCACCCCCCCTCCCCGAAGTTCCCCCTCCCCATCCTGAGTCCCGAGGTGCAGCAGAACCTCAGACGAAGGAATCACGCCCCCTGCAGGGACAGTGCAGAGGTCTGTGAAGTGTTAGAAATCGAACCGAGGGGAGCTCACGCTTGGTGTTCACCCCACGCTCAGCTGGCAATAAATTCTCCTTCCTCTAAGGAAGTTGTCTGAGCGTCCAGATTCCTCCGTTGGGTGTCGCTTCCTGCAACAAGTTGGTTTCCAAGTTCACCGTCAACCCTCAGGTTTACAGACCGGTCGATGTCTTGAGGTAGCTGTCTACCTCAGGTCAGCGGCTTCTCGTCCTCTAGGAGTCTTTGATGTCCGCAGACTGGGACAGACGTCCATTCACGGGTAGGCGCCTGACAAGTTCCCTTCCAATGGAATTGGAGGGTGTCTTTTATTTGGTGTCCTTTCCAGTAAACAGAGTCTCCAGGTGGCAGTCGGTGGCCTTTAAGGTCTGTCTCCAGGGAGCAAGGACACGGATACCTATGCGGCATCTCCTTGAGGTGACTCACCAAGCCTTGGCTGCAGTGGAAGACGTCTCCTTTCGACGGTGTCAGCCCCAAAGTTCTTTCATCTAGTTTAAGTCCAGCTTGAATGCACTCTGACGGGTGAAGGAATGCAAAAACCGAAAACAGGGTTTGCCAGGGAGCGGGCAGAACCAACTGGCCATTTGGGTAAACAGACGAAACAAGATGGGCCACACAGCGATATAGCTCAAACTAGTTTGGAATTTTTCATAATGAAAAAAGAGAAAATAGAACCAACAAAATAAACCAGGAAACCAGGAAGTTTAACATTTGAAAGATAACTGAAATCCCTCAACCAGGGAAACAGTGGAAAGGCCAAATACATCCCCCGGAAAAGCTAGTTTTTAAAAGCTGGTTCTTAAAAGATGAGGGACGTGAACACCTGATAACGCTGATTAAAAAAAATAGACAAGGTTTCGGGGTGTGAAAGAAGACAACCCCAGAATCAAGGTTAGTAAAAAGAATTATATGAAGTAATGTACACAATTCTATGGGGAAAAAGAAAAATTGGAACTCTGCGGAAAATGAAGAAATCCTACAGGGAATGCGCAATTTCCTAACGAAACAGAAATTATCAAAATGGCCGCAAAAAGAAGTTGAAAACTTAGTCAAGAACCACAGAAGATCTGGAAAGACATCCAGAGGTTTCAAAGGACACTTGGGATGAGAAGGGTCCACAGCCAAGTTCTAACTTTTGAAGAAGGGATGACTCCACCTTTATTTAATCTGGGCCATAAAAAAAAAGGAAGGCTCCCCAGATTTGTTTTAGGAAACTAGCCCAATTTTAACACCAGAACTCAACACAGTGTATTAGTTTCCTATTGCTGCATAGCAAATTACCGCAAATTTTGAAGCTTAAAATGTTCATTTATCTCAAAGTTTCCACGGGCAGGAGTCTGAGCACAATGTAGCTGGTCTCACAGACTTCAATCAAGGTGCCAGCCAGGCCGGGGGTCCTCTTCCAAGCACGTACAGGTTGGTGGCAGAATTGGGTCATTTGTGCTTGTAGGACGGGCCGTCAGCTCGTGGAGGCCATGCCTCTCACGGGCTGTGAGCATCGCGGCCAGCAGGAGCGCACCTCCCTCTTCAGGTCAGACCCACCTGTATATCTGCGTTTCCACGAACTCAGAATCCCCTGCCCTGGGACCTGAATTACTTCAGCACGATCTCTTCGCCTTTGCCGTATAGCGTGACATAATCGTGGAATGACATCCACCACAGTCACAGGCCCGCCCATGCCCGAGGAGAGGGGGTGTGCCGGCGTGTTCGGCAGAGGGTGGGGGTCTCGCGGCCATCTGAGAATCCTGCCCACCGCAGCTTGGTTAAAAAGAAAACGAGGGTCTCGTCAGAGTATTTGGCAGCAGCTAACACAGGGCTGTGAAGTTGGCGAGACAAACTTCAGGGGTAGCGCCCGAGGTGAGTGCCAGCTTCACCTGGCTTTTCTCCTCTGCGAAGTTGGCGAGACAAAGGTAACACCCGAGGTGAGTGCCAGCTTCACCTGGCTTTTCTCCCTTCCAAACCATGACACAGGGAAGTGCAGCTCAGGCAGAGGGGGGTGGCCGTCTTGCCGCAGGAAGCGGACTGGAGGTCGTGGCTGCTAAGGCGGTTGGGGCTTCGTAGGAGTTGGAGAGCAAGGTCACTGGAGAGGAGGGAGATGCAGAAAAGAAAACCCGAGACGTTGCTCTGGGCCCTTGGCCGGTTCCTAACCTGCACGCGTGGCTTAGCAGTGAGCATGTGGAGGCGGCAGCTGAACAGATGTCAGAGCTTGCACGGTGCTGAGGAGACCGTGGTGAGCTCCCCTCCCTGCCCCCCACCCATTCCCTCGAGGGCCCAGAAACCTATATCTTAGCCCAGGAGTAGAGGCTGTCATTCTAGCTTCCTGTGAAAGACATGTGAATCCCATAAGGGGTCACAACCTTATCCGTGGCCTCATATTATCTCTACAATTTTTATATATGTCTAGCACTCAATAAAAACTAAGAATAATAAAAAGCAAGACTGAAACCATCGAAATCGAAGCAGAGTCACGTGTGATCATATATTAGCATGAAAAGCATTTCTTAAATGCTTTGCTTATTTAAGAAATTAAATTGCAAGGTGGAGAATTTAGGTGAACTGAAAACTATAAAAAAGAAATGGAAATACTAGAACTAAAAATATATAAGTTAAGTACAGATGGATTAAATAACAAATTAGACACAGCTGAAGAGAGAATTGACCAACTGGACACTAGGTTAGAAGAAAATACCCAGACTAAAACCCAGAGGGGGAAGATAAAGAAAGGAACACACATGAGACGCATACTAACACAGAGGGGGAAGATAAAGAAAGGAACACACATGAGACGCATACTAAAATGTTTAGCTTTATCCTGCGAGTGTAACTAAAGTCCCACAGGAAAGGGAGGAGAATGGGCCTATGTGTCTTTGAGCGAGCAGCTTTTACTCTAGGCTTCAGCTTCTTTTTTTATAAATGTATTTGCAATGATAATGTAACTGTAGAGCCACTGGGTGGATTGAATGAGACTTTTTAAAGCAGCTGGCCCAATGCTTTGCACGTGGTGAGTACAACAGGTGGAAGCCACAGAGTTATCAGCACTGTCATCAGAATTAGAATGTCAAGGAGAAAAGCGTGAAGAGCGAGTCACATGAAGTCAGACAGATACCGAAGGGCCCTTAGTGATTTTATGCGAAACATTCTTACTGTAGGAAATAGCTTAAAAATTAATTTTTTCAATGTAGGGACTTAGAAGGAGATTAGTAACAGTTTGTAAGGAAATCAGCTTCTTAGTAAGCTTCGAAGTGAGTGTCTGCGTCACAAGGAGAAATGTATTTTTGTCTGTGTCTGTATGGGAGGGAGGGGCAAGAGCCATGGACAGACTAAGGGGCTGACTGAGGGCGTGTTTGGGGAAAAACATCATCGTTGAAGATGAATGCTGAAGCCCTGCCAGGGTGCACATGTTCTTAGAAACGTCGAAGCATCTGATTGTAGATCTGCTCACGGGAGGGAAAAGCGTGAAGAAACCTGATTTTAGGACCAGCACAGTGGTTAGGACAGCCAGGTGCTAATTACGGCTCCTGTGTTCAATGGAGCGATGAGCATTTCCTCTTGCAGGAAAGGTGGGTTTTCCCCCAGAGATGACGCGTCTGGATGGCTCTCCTGTCATCGCTTTCAGGTTATTCACATAAATCGGTTTATTTAGCATCTCCTGCTGTCGTGTTTTTCCTACAACACCCAGACTCACTCTCTGTCTAGGAAAGTACTTTGAGATCATTGATAATTGTTGATAGACCATTTAAGAGACCTACTGTCCTGTGATTTTTCTCTGCGTATATGGACAGCTTCTGTGTCTGTTTAATAGAAAATGTTTCAGAATCTGAGTGTCTGTGAGAGCCCGGTGGGTTATGAACGTGAACGTGAGCTGCATTATTCTGCCCAAGAGGACCCACGAGCACAGGGCGAATCCTATCATATAAAGATCCTGTAACTGTACTGAATAAAAAGTGGTTATGGCGACACACGTGCTTGAGACAGAGCCATACAGTCTCCTCCAGGAGAAGAAAGGGTGTGCCAGCTACAAAGTTTCGTGTTGGGAGCTACAGAAAAATCCAACTCAAATTGGCTTAAACTATGAAAGAAATGTATTAGCATACTTAACAGCTTTTTAGGCCTTTTAGGTAACTTACTCTAATGTCCCAGTGATTGAATTCAATGCACTGACACTTTAGTGGCCGATGCAGACAAAAGATAAGAGAAACGTTTTAAAATGCCAATGTTCAAAGAGAGTTAAAATGCGGTGGTGTGCTGGAGCGTCCCAGGGTGGTCACGTGGCTGTGAGAGCTCAGAAAGGCTTCCGTGGGAGGACACGGAGGCTGGGATTGGGCTGGCGGGGAGGGGGCCGGCATGCTGAGACCGGGAAGAAGTCAGGCCTTGGGAGATGCTGCGCATTCCCCAGCTTTCTCCGCCAACAGCACCCGCCCGGGTTCCCTTCCGAGAGGGTCCTCCCCCCGACGTCTGTCCCTTCCGTGGCACAGGGTGAGGTGGGCAAGCTCCCCGAGGGAGGGGCTGGAGGCCAGCGGTGCTGGCCGTGCGGGGCGTGACCGAGACCTTGCAGCTGGGGACCTCGAGGGAAAGGACAAGCACACACTTGGCAGGTGCAGGCCCTGCGCGGGGCTGCCCGTGTCTGCGTCCTGCTCACTGTGTGCTCGAGGGCCACGGGCTCTTGTCCACGCGGCACCCAGTGCTAGGCCGGCCAGCTCCCTCCAGGACGGCCACGGGATTGCGCCCGGAGGACAGGCCAGGCTGTCCCCGAGTGCGGCAGGACCGTGCGGGGTAGAGACCACGGGTGACGCATGGCACCAGTGCGAGGCAGAGGCCCCTCGGGGCCTGGAGGGAGCAGGACGAAGTGACAGCACGACCTGGGGCCTCGGAGCGGGGACCCCGGCACGCAGTGCAGGCTTTTGCCTCCGGTTTGTGCTCGTTCCCCGGCCATCCCTGGCGCGGCACGTCGCGGTCTCCGGAACCTCGGCTGGGGGTGGTAGGTGCGTCCGGGGACAGACTCCCGCAACGGCCACCAGGGGGCGATGGGGCCCCTCAGACCTGCGAGCCAACGCCCGCCCCTCCCCCCACCCCACCGGGGTCAGCACGGTCTGGCCGGAGCTGCAAATCATTTCTCTCAACTTATTATGTGTTTATTTTGCTCTTTTTTGGCCAGACATTAGGAATTTTGTTTAGTTCCGGAGGCTGTTTTTCCTTCCTTGATTATTTTAATGACCGTAGTCTTTTGGACTTCCGACAGAAGGTTTGGGTCTCTGAGTTTTAGCATGTGGGGGTGTCGCCTCCCAGGATGAATTTTATTTTGAATCTGTATCCTGCAGTTGGTTTGTTACAATATACACAATGTCACATTTTTAAAAGGAAGAATTAAAATTAACACTGGTTTCCAGTTGCTTCGAATTGTAGTTACGCTTTTCCCAGCTTATTCAGCTGGAGGCCAGTCTGTGCAAGGGGCTGACGGTCTGTTCCCCACTTTGGGGGGCGGGGGTCTCCACAGTCATTTTTTATTTATAGGTAGTTTCACTTATTTTTTCTTTTATGATTTGTCGACATTAGGTCCCTGTTTTTTAATGTACAGAAATGCGTGCGGTAGTTGACAGGAGCCTCCAGGGCTGGCTCGCGTGAGTCCTTCCCACGAGGGCAGGTGGCCTCGCCGCGCGTGCTGCTTACGCGAACAGCCCTGTGGGTGGGGAGTTTCTCTCTGCGGTTGTTCGTTCGCGCACCTGCTGGCAGCCGCTGTTTCTGGGGCTCGCCCGTCGCCCGTCTCATCCTTTGCCCACATCCCCACCGTGTGCTTGAATCCGGCAGCTTTTCACCTTCGCATAGTGAGGGCACATGCTGACCCCGTCGTTCCGGTTTGCTCCTCCCCCTTCTAGTCTCCGGGGACAGGGCCGGGACAGGCGGGCTGTCCGCCCTTCGGAGACGGGGCGGTAGCGTGGGGACACCGCAGCCGGCCTCTGTCGTGAGGTCCTTGTTCTTTCTGGCTTTCCAGCCCCTGACCCTGCATCTGGCCCCTCCTCTTCCGTAGGCGCTGGGGGGTGCTGCGCTCCCGGCTCCCTGACCAGACGGCACCCCTGCAGAGTGAGCGGTCCCCTGTCCCAGGCCGGCCCATCCTCAGCGCTGCCGCCTCCCCATTCTCTCCATGGGCCTTGGGGTGTCCCCCCCCCCAATTCCAGGAATTTCCCAGCGCCCCGTTCTTGGCTGCTCCCTCGGCCAGAGTCAGGTTTCAGGTGCTCAGAACAAGGCGGCCGGTGCCGAGCGTGCCGACGGCCCGGGGCCCAGGGACTCCAGTGGGCCAGCGCCGAGTGCCGAGCACACTTCGGGCACTGGGCTGCCAGAAACGAGCAGAGGCTGGTGGGGGTCGGCCTGGGCAGGTGGGGCTGGGGAAGGCGGGAGTGACGCACAGGGAACTATTTAAGACAGGTGGATGACAAGAGAACAGGTGTCCATTCTGGTACTCGCTGAGCGCCGACCATGTGCCAGGAACCACCCCGGGCTTCAGGGTCACCGCATGAACAAAACATATCGCACCCATGTCAACCGCAGTTTTCATGCTGAAAAACCTCTGGATCCAAGCTCTGGCCAAGGCCCTCTGTGCCCTCACTGTCACGTTGCTGCCCCACGTGTCTCGCGGACTGCCGGGTGGGTCACGGCAACACGGAGCCGGGGTGCCAGGCAGCCCCTCCCCAGGGAGCGCCCGTCCGCTGTGCTCAGGCCTAGGCAGCAAGGACACAGCTCCAGGCGGGGCAGGCGCCAGGCGGGGCAGGCGAAGGCAGCCTTACCCACTCAGCAAACAGGTGCTGAGCGTCGACTGCATGCTGGGCCCTGGCGCAGCCGCTGTGAACGGGGTGACCTGTGACGTGTCCCCGCAGATGGACGACACAGGCTACAGCAGGCGTCAAGTGCAGAGTATGGACGAAGGCTGCTGGGGACGCTGGCCGGGACAGCCGGGTAGGGCCCGGCCCGGGGCTGCCGCTGAGGGCCGGCCGCTGCTTCCAGAAAAGACGGGAGCTGTCTGGGGGTCCGGGGCCTGGAGAGGGGTTATCGGCCCGGGAGGAGAGGGCTGATCCCCCAGGGTCTCCTCCAGGATGCACGGTCTGGGCCACCTCAGTTGCTGGCACGGGGGGGCCTGGCTGGGGCCTCGGCGGGGCCCCCCTCCTTTCTCAGCCTCAGTTTCCACGTGTGCAGATGGCCCCCCATTCCGTAGTGCTGGGGACAAGTAGAGGAAGGCAGAGCACCTCGCCCGTCCTGGTCCTGACCTTGTGGAAGCAGAGAGGGCGGTGCCCCCTGGGAGGAGGCGGAACCGGGCCACTGATAATAAAAGGGACCGGGGACCAGAGGGAAGTCAGAGCAGCGCGCGCCCCGGCGCTCACCCCGGAGCTCACCCCCGCACTCACCGAGAGCGTCATCAAAGCCCCAGATGAGTCAGGCCACAGGACACCTGGACGTCCACCGTCATCGTGGCCCTCGGCGCCCTGCAGGCCACGCGTCCTCCTCCCTGGCCCTGCGTCCCCACCTCCTGTCCCTTAGGTGCAGGCCGCCCGCAGAGGCTGCTTCTGCTCACGTGGAGCCAAAGGGAGCCGTCGGCTGAGCTTAGGGATGGCGGCCCCTCTCGCAGCCAGCACCTGGGCGAGCAGGCTGCCATCTCGGGAGCAGCCGTGCGGACGGGTGCCCAGGACAGGCCTCTGGGCACAGGGTCAGGGAATAGCTGGTCTTGGACCGTATCCTGACTGTCCCTGAGCAGGTGTCCTCACCATGCGCAAGAGGCAGCAGGGAGGTTCAAACGGCAGACCTTTTCCGAAGGGACCAGGCAGTAAGTATTTCTGGCTTCCTGGGCCACACACGGTCCCCACGGCCGTCACTCAGCCCTGTGTCCTGCAGAGTGTTTGCATGGGCCGATGTGGCAGTGTTCCAATAAAACTTTATTCACAAAACAGGCAGCTGCCAGGTTTGGCCCCAGAGGCTGTAGGTCCCTGGCCCCTGCCGTGGGTGTGGAAGGTCACAGACGCCACAGTCTCCGCCCCCTGACCTCATCACCTCCCAAAGGCGCCACTTCCTACCAACACTGTCACGCTGGGGGTTAAGGTCTCACCGTGAGTTTTGGGGGTGACAACACTCAGTCTTTGGTGTGGAAGAAGACCGTACAGCACTGTGAATGATGAGAAAAACAGGTTACAAAACAAACAGGAAGCACGATGACCTTGTCCAGCCAGCGCTGACTGCGAGCCCGGGGACTCAGCTGTGAGATGCGACCGGTCGACCCCCCGAGCTGGCGCCTGACACCCACGTGTGGTAAGGGCTCTGAGGGCTGGGGGCAACTTTTTAAAAGTCGGCACAAACAGGTGCGCATGGGAGAAACGCGTGGGAGAAACGCATGGGAGAAACGCGTGGGAGAAAGCGGCCTCGGCAGGGTTTCTGTCCCGGCGCTGGAAACCGCTTTCGCTCGCTCGTCGGCATTTTCTAGGTTTTCTGCAGGGAACACGTGTGCCGATTCCCTGTACAGTGGCGACTAAGTGTGCGGGGCGGAGGGTCTCACGGCCTTCATGGGGCTGCCGGAGCCCGTCCCTTGTCCTGGGGCCTTGCGGGCTGGCAGGGAGGAGGGACGCACAGCCCTATAGCCAGGCACCGAAGACCAGGGCCTCCGTGAGTGCACCTCGTCCTCTGCTGTGTCCCCTCTAGTGCCATCTAGAGCTGCCGTGCTCCCAGGCAGAGGCCCAGGGGCACCTCGTGGAGGCCAGGTGGGGCCTGTCGCCGTGAGGCTGTGGCCGAAGACCTCACTGGGCCTTTTAAACTCTGGGCCTTGGAGACTCTATGTCTCGAACTCTGAACTCTCCCCTCGCAGGAATGTCACCTGTTACTGACTGACCGTGGTGCAAGTTGACCTGGGGGGCAGGCTTAAACCCTGCACCCCTATGTGATGTGGGCGGCCATGGGCAAGTTACTGATGCCCCATTTCCTCGTCTGTGAAACGGGCATTGGGAGGATTAAGAGGCTCCTGGCTGCCGGTCAGTGGTAGGGCTAGAGCTGTCCTCGGTGCCGGTGAGGAGCCTGGGACCCCGGAGGCGGGCCTCAGGGTCGGTCTTCAGGGAAGTTCCCAAAGGCCTGGTGGGCCAAGGAGCCGGGACAGAGAGCCCCCGAGCCTTGCCAGGAGCCCCTGTGCATGGCGTTGTGCAGCTGGGCGCTCACCCATGCCGCCCTCAGGGGCCGAGGGGTCCCGGCCAGCGTGCAGGTACGCAGGTACCCTGGGGAGCTGGCTCTGCAAGGACCTGGGGCCTCTGGAAGCCTGGAGGCACCCCCACAGCTCACTGCATGCTGGTGGGCTCAGGCCCCGGACCCCCAGCCTGGAGAGCTGGGCCAGGAACGGTAGGGGCTGCAAGGGCCAGAGCGGCTGCAGGCTGCCTTACGGAGGGAAGCTGGTCTCTGAAGCCGTCTGGGCCTGGGCCAGCTTCCAAGAGGGGCTGGCACAGAGGCCGGGTGAGGGAAGGGAAAGAAGGGGCACCCGCTGGCCCCCATGTCTGCGTGTGGCCTGCCCCTCGCCTCGCTGGCCAGGGGCTCAGGAAGTGAGCCTTGGTGCCGAGGTGCAGCTCACTCGGCACGGCCACGGGGCACCTTCTTCTCTGCAAACCCTTCCAGGGGCACCCGGGGGCAATCTTGTTGTCCAGCCTGCACACGCTCTGTCCGCTGCACCCCGGGGACTCCTCTGCTGTGGCGGGACCTCCGCAGCCAGTGCCCCGGGAAGAGTCTTTTCAGTAGCTGGCAGGTACTCTGGCCCCAGGATCTTCTGTGGTCCTGTGGCCAAGACTGAGCCCTGAGCAACCTGGGCGCGCAGAGCCTGGCACGCCCGAGACCTGGTCCCTGCTCCCTAGTCCTCGAGCCCCCTTCACCTTAGCCTTCTTCCTGTCCCCTCCCACCGCGGCGTTTCCGAGATTCTTAGTCAAACTCTGGCAGAGCAGGTGTGCTGGGAGGTGGTCTCTGCCTCTGCCAACACCTGCACTTCTGCAGGCCTTCGGCTCAGGACCAGGTGGCCAGGTGGGGAAGCTCAGGGCAGTGGGGCTCTGCCACCAAGCCCAGTCCTGTCCCCATCAGCTGGGGGGACAGGTATGGAAGCCTGGTCGGACTCTAGCCTGCAGCCCAGGCACCCCCAGGACAGCCAGGGGCACCCCTGCTCTGGGACCACAGGTTCCAGGAAGGCGGCCGCCAGCTCCTGTCCCCAGCCCTGCCCAGCAAGCGCCTGGCTGCGGCAGGCACCCACTGCCAGTACGGGGCATCCCCGAGGGCTCATGTGGGACGCACCGCGGCCCCAGCGCACCTCACGCGCACCCCTTCCCTGAGCACCAGGTTCCCAGCCTCGCCCCGCCCAGGCCCCGCCCCTCCACTGCCCCCTTGGACTTGTAGCTAGAAGAGAACCATCAACGGAAAAAGACTGGGGGCGATGGATGGTGGGTGGGATAGTTTTCCAGGTCTGATAGATTATAAACATAACTGTTACATTTACATGAAGTCACTGAAAACTGAACCAAAATTAAACCTAATTTTATGAAGATGGTCCAGTTCTTGTCTAGACTTTGTTTTTCATAGAATAAATTCACGCGAAGGGGTGCCCGCGCCCTGCGCCTCGAAGGTGGAGCTGCGTCTCAGCTGCCGGCACCTGCTGGACCGCGACCCGCTGACCTAGTCCGACCCCAGCGTGGTGCTGCTGCAGCAGGCGCGGGGCCAGTGGGTGCAGGGAGGGCCGGTGAGAGGGCGCAGAGACGCCGGCAGCTCGAGAGGCTGCGGGGTGCAGGGCAGGGGCGGCCAGGAACCGAGGGAGCGGCCGGCCTGGGCCGAGGGGATCCAGGTAGAGGAGAGTGCCCTGGTGGGGGCCACCCAGGATCCCGCGTGGGAGTCCGGTCCGAGAGAAGCGTCGGGCTTGAGGGGCCAGCAGGAGGCTTGACTAAGGGGGCCGCGGGAGTGAGCTGCCGGCCTGAGTGGGGGAGCAGGGGTTGGACTGGAGATCGGTTTCTCTGCCGGGTCCTCAGCCTCCAGGCAGGGGACAGGGAGGGGACAGCTGAGCCCATCTGGGGCACTCGGGCAGCAGCCGGGACTTGATCCCTGAGGTTCAGGACTCCACCTGGAGGGCTCCCAGCTTGCGGTCACGCTCCTCGGGGTTCTTGCAGACTTGCCTGTGGGTCGCCAGGAGAGTCTAGAACACCCTGGGGTGAGCCGGTGGGTACTCTGTGTGGCCACGTTCATGCACACCCACCCCTCTGGCCTCGGCTCTGGGCAGCCATGTCCTGGCAGCACGAGGGTCTCCCACTGACACCCTCTGGCCCTGGGTCTGGCTTCCCTGTGCCCACCACCCCTTGTCACCCCAGCTTGGCCCTCCCCCGGGGCTGGCAGTGGTGACAGATCTGGGCGGCCTGTGCTGTGCAAAACGCTTTCTCGGTCTCCATCTCAGCAGCGCAGGGACAGGCGGGGTTGGAGCCCCAGAGGCGGTGTGGCCCAGCAGGACGGTGGGGGCTGGGACCCTGGACCAGGAGCCTAGGTGACGCCGTGGAGGGGCCACATCTGGGGCCGCCCCTGATCTCTGCTGCCTGCACTGCAGTCTTGTGCCATCTCTTGTCCTCTCTGGGCCACCAGCTTCCCAGGGCTGAGAAAGCCCACTGGCCATCAACCGGGCAGGCCCCAGCCCAGTGCCGGCCTGGCTGGGGGACACCGGAGGGAGGGTGGCCCAAATCCCCATCAGCCTTCGTTGCTTGGCCTGAGCACTGCCTCGTACAGACGCCCCATTTGGGGGAGTGGAGTCTGTGGGACCCTGGGGTGCGGCACAGACACCCATCTGCCTGTCTGGGGTTGTGTTTTGGGGGTTGGGCCGAGGTGCAGGAGTCTGCGCCCAGCGTCCCCGCCTGCCCAGCAGAGCGAGCTCAGCTCTAGGTGTGCCCAGCCCCGGGTTCCAGGGTGCCGTCCCTTACTCAAAGTGACCTCACTCAGAGAGCTGGGCCTCGGTGTCCCCATCTGAGACCGGGGGCTGGAGCAAGCCGAGGTAGGCGTGAGACGGGATGAGGCAGAGAAGGCGCCCACATTTGCCAGGACGTGCCCCCTGGGAGTGGCCACAGCATGGGGGACTGGAGCCCAGACCGGTGGGGTGCCGGCCGGGGTGCTGGCCCTGGGGTGCCGGTGGCATCCCGCCCGTGCGTCTGCCCGCCGCTGCAGGCGGACAGGGCAGAGGTGGTCCGGAGCTGCCTGCACCCCGTGTTCTCCAAGGTCTTCACGCCTGACTGCTGCTTTGAGGAAGCACAGAAGCCACGGGCCCGGCAGCCTCAGCCACCAGGACGACGACTTTCTGGGGGGCGTGGAGTGCACCTTGGGGCAGGTGGGCACCCCCCCTCGGCAGGGAGGAGGGCGGGAGACACCCAGGAGGGTGGCAGGCACCGGGGCTGGTTCCGAAGGCCGGGGCAGTGGCAGTGGCAGCTCAGGGACACGTGTGCCAGGTGCCACCAGGTCCCTCTGGATGAGCACCCGGCTCTGCCCATCTCCATCGCTCCTCCTCTTAAAAATGTCCTTATTAGTTATGTTTTAAAATACATCATTTTGATTCATATGGCTCAAGATGCAGGAAGTGTAAAAGGCACGCTGGCCCGTCCCCCCCTGCCCTGTCCCCACGTCCTGGCGCCTCTCACACGAGGATATGAATGTGGGATTCTTCCTGTGTTTTCTGAAACACACGTGGCACACACCGTTCTGCAGCCTGCGCTGGGCACCCCCGCGGCACGAGCGAGCCCTCCACGCCGGCTCCCGGGGGCTCCCGGTCTCCCGCTTATCCAGCTGTCCTCCGCCATGCGCCTAACGAGAGCTCTCGCTGGCCGCCAACCAGATTGCTCTGGCCAGGCTGTGTGCCGAGCACGTCACGGGCCCCACGCTTCATCCTCCCAAGTGCCACGGGGCACGTCCTTTCCGCTGAGGTCTGACTCGCGTACAGTAAGATGCGCAGACCTCACGGGTCGACACCGATGAATGTCGGCAGCTGTGTGCACCCGAGCAGCACCCGAATCACGGGCGTTTCCGTCACCCCGCCCACAGAGCGTGAGCTGAGGTGGTGGAGGGGCAAGCCCTCTCTCTGGGGGCTGCTGGGGGCCCAGGTCCCACAGGCGGGAGGCTGAACTTTCCGGGGTCAGGCTGTCCCCTAGCAGGTGACCACAGGGCCTGGAGCAGAGGCCAGAGGAGGAGGACCGGGCAGCAGCCCAGAGCCAGTGGGCCGCTCTGCCTCTAGCGACCTGCTCACGGGCTCGTCACTGCCCTGTGCCTCAGTGTCCCCCTTGTGGCTCAGAGCAGGGCCTGGGCTGGGTCCCTCGGGGGTGACACAGACCTCTGTTGGAGTTTGCCGGGAAGCAGGGACCCTGTGTGACGGGGCTCCCCCTCTTCCAGTGACAGGAGGTTCTCGGCTTTGGGCTTTGGAGCCCGGATCCCTCCCGAGTTTGAGGTAGGACAGCCCGGGGGGCTCCCCTGTCCCTGGGGCCCTCCCCAGCAAAGGCCACCCTTGGTCCCTCTCCGCTAGGAGCCACTGCTGCATGACCCTGGCTTTTCAGCCAGAGGGGCTGACCTTTGACCTCCTAGCACTAGGGACCTCTGGAGACAAGGAAAAGGCGGGCATTAGTCCGTCATCTTCTAGTTATGAACAGTAGTTCGAAGGGCTTAAGCGAAACTCCATGGCGGGGGTTATCGTGATGCAGCTCGGCGGCGTCAGGCCCGGCGGGACCCAGGGGCTGCAGCAGGGCCCAGCACCCATCTGCCTGTCTCAGCGACTCCCCTCCACAGGAGCCCAGGGGGACAGACCCCCTCTCCCAGGAAGTGGGGCTGTGGGTGTCCTGGGAGGATGAGCCAGCTGACAGGCCCCTTGTGTGCCCATCCAGGTGTCCCATGACTTTGCCATCAATTTCAACCCCGAGGACGGCGAGTGTGAAGGCAGGGGCAGGAGGGGCCGGGCCGGGCCGCAGTGGGCTGCACTCACCCCCCTCACCCCGCAGGGATCCAGGGCGTGGTGGACGCCTACCCGAACTGCCCGCCCAGGATCCAGCTCTACGGCCCCACCAACGTGGCGCCCGTCATCTCCAAGGTGGCCCGCATGGCAGCGGCCGAGGAGCACACCGGGGAGGCCTCTGTAGGTGCCCGGGGCGGGTGGCATGGTGGGGACTGGGTGCCGTGGCCCCGAGGCAGGATGCTGGTCCGCTGTGTGCAGGCGGGGACGGGGAGGGCCGAGGCCTGGGGAGCGGCCAGCGCAAAGGCCCTCGGGCCGGGCCAGAAGGCGGAGCCCAGCGTGGCTGGAATGGAGCTGGGGCTGGGAGAGGACGGGCGGGGCCCCAAAGCTGCGGGCCCACTTCTGAGCAGGAGAATTCCCACGGGGGGGGGCCGCACCACCCCACAGCCTGTGCGCGCCCCGCTGTGCGTGAGCTACTGCGTCGCATGCGTTTCAATGCACACAGGTCACGCTGTGCCGATGGCGGCCGCCGCCTCGCGGTCCGTAGCCCTGTCTCTGCAGCCGAGTGCACGGCCGCTCCGCTGTGCTTAAAAAAACATTACCGAGAGCGCCAGACGAGCGCCACAGTTTCTGCGCGGCCTCAGCGCCCTCTGGCTCCCGCGCCCCTGGGCTCTGGCCCTGGCCCCTCCACCCTCCGCCTCCCTCCTGCACGTTGCTAGTGTCCCCGCTCCCCACGCGACCCGCTCCCAGCAAGCACGCACCGCACGTGACCACGGCCCAGCGCCCGGGGCCAGGCTCTGCGGTCCTCGGCCCCCCTCGCGTGTCCACAGCCGCGGCCCGGGACCTGCCCTCCCCGCACGCTGTGCCTTGGGCCTCAGGGTCCCTCCCACCGGGATTCCAGTGCTGGCTCCTCCAGCCTCGGCCTCCCCTCTGTAAGGTGTGGGCGCCCCAGTGTCCACCGCAGAGTCGGGGCGAGCTGGGGCTGGGGGACCGGTGGCCGTCGGGCACCACGTGGGCCGCAGAGCGAAGGCTCTGGTTCGTGGTGGCCGTCATCTCTTATGCTTCAGCAAACACGTTTCCAGGCTGAGCGATGCCTGTGGTCTCCCCCAGGCCGTGTCGGAGGAAGGAGCTGGCCGAGGGGCTGGGGGACTTCATGCGGGTGGGTGCAGCCGCCCTCAGGGTCCCTCGTCATCCTCCCTGTGCCCCAGCAATACTACATCCTGCCGGTCCTGACGGACGGCGTGGTGACAGACATGGCGGACACGCGGGAGGCCATCGTGCGTGCCTCCCACCTGCCCATGGCCATCATCGTCATGGGCGTGGGCAGCGCCAACTTCACGGACATGCAGACCCTGGATAGGGACGGGGCTCCCTGCAGTCCCCTCGGGGCCAGCCTGCCGTTCGTGACATGGTGCAGTTCGTGCCTTTCTGCGCGCTCAAGAACGTGAGTGTTTGGGACAGGCTGGTGGTCCAGGGCCCGCCACAGGGGACACACTGCCCCTACCACAACGCCAGGCGCAGGCCCCACGGCCGGTCCCCCTCGGCCGCGTAGGAGGGGACCAGGTGCTGCAGGGACGGCCGGGGCCACCGTGGTTCGTACTTTCCAGCCTATGTGCTTAACAAAGCCTCCCCTGGCCACCAGGCGGGCCCTGGTGTGGCCTCCTGGGAGGGCGAAGCCACCACGTGACAGGCGGGGCTCTGGAGGAGGGGCTGGGGGACCAAGGTGAGGGACGGGTCAGGAGGGCCTGGGGCGAGCACATCATCCCCTCCCACAGGTGAGCCCTACATCGCTGGCCAGGTGCGCGCTGGCCGAGGTGCCCAAGCAGCTGGTGGAGTACTGCAGCCACAGAGGGGTGCCCCGCGAGGCCCCGCCCCCACGGCCGAGCCGGTGGGCCAGGCCGCAGCCGTCCAGCACCCTGGGGCCCCCGGAGCCCCCCGTGACCTCCCTGGGGCCTCACCCCTTAGCCTAGGCCCATCCCTCGTTCCCCGTGGTCCTGCTGCCTGTGCTGGCCTCTGGGCCCCCCAAGGCCGAAGAGTGCACAGTCTCAGGCCCGGAAGCCCCTGGAGGCTTCTGACGCAGCCTCGCAGAGTCCTTCCTGGACCGACCGAGGCCCGTCCCTGCAAGGGTGCAGTGCGAGACCGGGGGAAAGGATCGGAGCCAGGGGCTGGAGCAGCCCTCTGTGCGTGCCCGGCCCTGCCCCAGCAGACAGCAGAGCGAGGCCGAGGCCGGGGACCCCTGCTTTGCGTCTGCCACGTCCCAGTCACGGAGAAAACCCGGGTGCCTCCGACACCCCATCCCCACAGCCGGTTCCTCGGTACCTTGGCTGGCACCCCAACCCCCCACCCCCGCTCCCAGAGCCCCTGCCCTTGGCCTCCCCCCGCGGCACGCGCCTCTGCGGGGTCTGCGGGCGAGGGCTGCAGCACAATAAAGTCATCTCCTCGCAGCATGCGCGCCTTCCTGCACCCCCATCCCCGTCCCTGCAGCACGGGAAGGGGGGTCCGGCCCTCCCAGCCTCCTGTCTGACGCAGGGGACCTTCTGACGCAGCCTCGCAGAGTCCTTCCTGGACTGACCGAGGCCCGCCCCTGCAAGGGTGCAGTGCGAGACCGGGGGAAAGGCCAGAGGTGTGACAGCCGTGACATCGGCCTGCGTGTGGCCTTCGGGGACCTACCAGCACTGCTCGCTGTGCACTCTGTCCATGAGGGGGCGCCGCCCGGTGTGTGGGGTTCCGACTGAGATTTCACCTGAGTTGTCTCGTCTGGGAGAAGCCAACTGTCCTCACCCGAATCCAGGCCCACCGCCCAGGCACCCACTCAGCACCCACCCACCTGCCCCTCCCACACCCACCCCTCCATTTATTCATCTATCATCCATCCTTCCATCCACCCGCCCTAACCCATCCCTCCCTCCACCCATCATCCATCCATCCCCCTGGAGACCTATTTTTAGCTCCCGATTCATCTCCCTTAAGCAGGGATAATGGGCATCGCCATGGTAACCTGACTACCGCTGAATTCTGGTCTCTTCGGGAGTGGAGAGGCCAACACAGAAGTGGCCTCTATGCCTCCTGGGAGGCAGCAGGGCCGCAGGGCGGAGGGGCAGGGAGTTGTGGGTCCCGAGATGGCAGGGCAAGTGTCCACTGCATTCTGACTCGGCCACTGAGCCCTGTGTGACCAGAACGTGGTCTGAGTGGCAGGAAGCCTCAGACAGGTCTGGGCTCCGCCCACAAGGTTGGTCAGCTGAGATGCCAGAGTTGGCAGAAGGCACAGAGGGGTCAGTTGAGAAGAACGAGAGGGGTCCACACAGCGCAGGGGGCAGCATGGTGGCCGGGGGGCGGGCAGGGCAGGGCAGGGGCCTGGCGAGCTGGGTGTGGAGGGACCTGTGGCTTTGGCAGGGTGCGGCCAGCCACTCCCGGACATATGGAGCGGGCAGGAGCAAGGTGAAAGCAGAGAGCAGCCAGGAACCCCCAGAAAAGACGCCTCCCGGGGCCAGAGCGGGGCTGGACAGGAGGACGGCAGAGGCGGTGGCCGTAGCAGCCGGGCCGGGGGAGGCTGGGCTGCTGGCGTGTGCGGGCCGCTGGGAAGTGGGGTTAGGTCGGCGTCCACGAGTTTGCCACCCAGGGAGTGGCCCGGAGAGGGGCAGACACTCCCAGGTCACGGACAAGAAGAGCCAAGCTCAGGACGGTTATGCCCAGGGTGACACGCTGGTTGGAAGCAGAAGCGAGACCCACCAGACCCTGGGTTTACGCGTCTTGCTATGGTGTCTTCCGTCGAGGGACGTGCGGTCAGGACCCCTGCCAGCTGGTGTGGGGGCCGGCGCCTGGGACCACCGGGCCCCAGTCCTTCAGCGCCTCCCAACCTCAAGTTGGGGCCTCACTCCTGCTCACTGCAGACGGGACGTAGCTTCTCCCAGCAAGCAGAACCAGAAGGTGTGCCCTGGGCCGGGACCCCCCGCGGGAGCCCCCGGGACCAGCCTGCCTTCAGAAAGAGCTTCCGGCATGCTGTCTGCCCTGGCCCCTCCTCCAAGGGCAGGCTTGGGGTCTGCAAGCAGCTGCAGATGCTTGCAAGGGTCAGCGGTGTCAGCACTGGTCCAGAGCCAGGCTGGACACCAGCCCCAGTTTTCAATAGCTGTGTGACCTTGGACAGGTCACCTCAGGCTGAGCCTCATTCCTCGGCTGTCACGTGGGAGGCCTGGAAGCTTTAAATCACATCTTTAAATCTTTAAATCCCGTGGGGAGGTGGGATGCATGTTCCTTCTTGGATCCGGGCAGACCTGGGGGCCTCTGTGACTTCCAGGCTTAGTCATGAAATGCTGCACTGCCGCCTTGCTCACTCGTGACCCACACTGCAAGGAGGCCCCAGCAGCCAGCCCCGAGTTGCTGGCCACACGAGGATGCCACCACGAGGGACTCCTCCGGTCCACTGTCATCGTCCTGCAATTTCAGGACAGACGCCCACCCCGCCCTCCCAGATGCCTCCCAGATGGACGTTTTCTGGGGCCACTCAGTGCTGGCCACGACGTCTCTGAGAACATGAGCTAGACCAGCAAACCCTTTCCAGCCCTGAGAGGCGCCAGTCTGGGAGGAGGGGACAGGCTCCTGGAGGCAGGAACAGGCCACCCGGCCTCCCCTTGCTCTGGGCGCACAGGCACAGGGACATCCGCCCACACCGGTGTCTGCCTGGCGCCCGCACACCTCCCAGGTACGTGGGTACACACTCGTGTGCCCGCGAGTCCACCGTGTGCACTGCCACGTCGAGAGCCACCACGTTTTGGTGAGATTTCTCCGGTTCCGAGGACGAACATATCAGAGCTCCAGCCCTGACTGCGAAGGTGCCCAGCTGTGCATCCCTTCTCCACGGGGAGCCGAGGATTCTGGGTCAACGTCCCCACCCTGGGCCTGCTCGCTGTGGTCAGAATCAGCGGGGGGCTGGAGGGAGAGGGAACAGGGCAGCTTGGCACCCTGACTTTCTTTCTTCTGCTGCCAGAGGGAGCGGATGGGAAGCTGTGACTCAGTGCTCATGATCGGCGCGGGGCACAGGGCCCAGACGCGGTTCTGGGCTCAGTGGGCGGTGAGTGGCAGCTGCCTCCTCCGCCCTCCCTCCGAGTGAGGCACGTGGGACCTGCCGGAGGGGACCCTCTTCCGCCTCAGGACTACGGCGGCTACCGAGCCCCTCGTGCTGGGGGACTGCGAAGCTTGGCTCGAACATCACTGCGCTGGATTCTCACAGCCCCATGGGGCTGCGTGCTCTGAGCCCCGTTTCACAGGACCCCGGGCTCAGGGAAGCGAAGCCACCGGGCCCAGGGCACAGTTGCGAGGGCGGAGCGGGGTCATGAGTGGAGCCTTGCAGCCTGGTTACCAGGACCCAGCACCCAGAGCCGGCAGCCCGAGATGTGTGTGTGCATGTGCACTCGTGTGTATGAACACATGTGCGTCTGTGTGTCCGTGCTTGTGCACACGTGAGGGCTCTTTGTCCTCAACTGTTTACTGGAGCCTCTCTCTGACCCCAGCCACACTGGGCGGGCCGCAGTCAGCCTCCCGTCGGGTGGCTCCCTCTGCCTGGATGCTGGGCGTCGGCTGGACCAGGGTGAGTGGGCTGATGGCCAGGGTAAGCCATGAGAACCCAGGAGTCCAGCCCAGGACGGACATTTTCTGAGGCCACTCAGTGTTGGCCACGACGTCCCTGAGAACATGAGCTATTCCAGCAAACCCTTTCCAGCCCTGAGAGGCGCCAGTCTGGGAGGAGGGGACAGGCTCCTGGAGGCAGGAACAGGCCACCCGGCCTCCCCTTGCTCTGGGCGCACAGGGCAGAGGCCTGAGGGACGTCCGCCCACGCTGGTGTCTGCCTGGGGCCCAGGTCAGACCAGCCAGACAGGGCCAGAGCGCAGCAGGCCGGCGGGGAGGGTGGGCCTCCGAGGGTCAGGGGGCACAGTGAGCACGTCACACTGCTGCAGGGCGCGTCCCTTGTCCCTCCATCCAGCATTCACAGCTCACACCCAATGCCCCTCTGCAGGACAGGGCCTTGAGGCCAAAACAGGCTGTTGCAGACGGTGGCCAGAGAGAGGCACGCAGGGGTCCCAGCGAGGTTTTGGAGGCTGGCTGGGAAACCCCGGCTCCGGGACGCCCCGGGACTCTGCTGCACCCTCTGGGCCTCCGCTGGTCGCCCAGCGAGCATCAGGTACATGCCAGCCGTGCGCCCACGCCGAGAACACAGGAGCCCAGTGTCCTCCCAGCTGACCCGGGAGCAGAGCACCGCCCAGCCCATCGGGGCAGGGCACGGGCCAAGCACGTCCCTGGCCGGCTGTCACCGGGACCTGCCCGGACTCCCAGCCCCAAGCCCACCCTAGGACTCCCCAGAGCTCCGCCGAGCCCAGCTGCTGACTGTGGCTACCTGTCAGGCAGGTGGCCCGGTGGTCTGGGTGGCCTGTCTGGTTCTGGGTACTGACCCAGCTGACCGGTCTGGGTCCTGGGCAGATGTGGGAGCAGCTGACACCGCATCTGAACACTGGACCCGAGGAGGCCACAGCGAGGCGGGAGGCTGGACGCAGGAAGGTGCCTCCGGGTCCTCGCCCTCATCGGCCTTGGTGATGGCTGGTGGCTCCACGCCTCCCGCGGTGTCCTCATGGGAGCAGGAAGCGCGGCCACTGGGTTTTGTTGGGCGTGGGGGAGAGCATGGGGTTGGCCCCCCACTCAGTTATCCTGCCTGGGTCCTGCGGTGTGGGCCACCCCCGCCTCATACCCAGTGCCCCTCTGCAGGGCACGCCCTGCGCGGCCTCAGCTCACTGCAAACGCGGGCGAGCTCGCCTTGGGAAGAGGCGAGGCGGCCAGGGCGCCAAGGCCCGGCGGTGGGCGCTGTCGGAGCTGCCGTCGGAATCCCGCCCCCTCAGAGGGCCCGGCACGCGGGTGCCCAGCGCCAGGCCTGGCCCAGCAGCAG